CCCAGTGAAATTAGAATTTCATGGTCGTTACTGCTTCCCTAGTTGTTAGTTAGCCAAAGGGAGAGATAAAAATGTCTCTTAGAATATCCTTATTCCTTCCAGGCAGGCTAGTACCAGGGATTGATGGTCTGAAAACTTAGAAGCTTTAAGGTCCAAGTGGAGACTGCAAAATGGTAGAGTGCAGGGTACTATCATTGACAGCTATATGAGTTGACCAAAAAGTAAATGATGGAAGACCTAAGAGGGATGACCCACATAGCTGAATATATAGAGTACAGGTTTTGCCAATTTGTTCTCAGGCTGATAACAAGTACTGCACCCTGCATTTGAGCCATGGGCTTTCACACCCAAAATTGCTCCATCTCTAGCAATTCTTACAAACCCCATAGCTCTTTGTAAATGCCTGATTGCCTTGGCCTTAGAGACTTCAGTTCATGTTTTAGGATGCCTATACAACCTGGCTGTCATCTAGAGTCGCCGCCACTCACCGCTCCTAACTGAGGGTGTTACACGCATTAGGGAAACATAATATGATCCCATTTAGACAAGTCAGACTTCATGCCTACAAGTTCCTTTTCTCTCCTTATAGGAGGTATAAAGTCAAGGAGGGCTAGACCTGACATGTGATCTTGTGAGCTCCAATTGCTGCCTTTTTGCACCACTGGAGACAAATTCACTCTTGTGGTTTTCAATAAATATTCAACCATCCTTTAAAGGCATTTATTGTGACTTTCTGTGCTGATTATTGTTTGTACCTTTCCCTCATGATGTAGAGGTTTAGGCCTGCAATATTCTTTAAGAACCAAGTCTAGGTTAGTTTCTGATGCTATCAGTCTTATATTTCTTCTGGATTACCAGGTTTGAGGTAAAGATAAATTTAGTGTGTGTGGAAGGGGGAAGTGTATGTCTTTATTCTCAGCACTTGAGAGGCAGAGAGGCCAATCTCTTTTTTAGTTTGAGGCCAGTCTGATCTAGAGTGGGTTCCAGAAGAGGCTCCAAAGCTATAGAGAAACCTTATTTTCGAAAAACAGAACAAAAATGAACTCATATCAGCCATCCATACATTATTACTATCAACTGCATGTTCATGGGGCTAGACAGAAGGCTTAGCACCCACGAGACAGCTCAGGACTGTCTATAACTCAAGTCACAGGGTATCAGATACCATCTTCTGGTCACCACTGGTATTCGGCATTCACTTGGTATACTCACTGACAAAATTTGTACACTTAAATTTCATTCTTTTTAACATAACAGGCACATGAAGGGAAGCTGTAATGATCTGTCCATGTCCACTCCCTCCCCTGTCTGCTGAGGCAGGCAGATCTTCCTTCTGCAACCCAGGTCTCTTCCTTTTCCCTCTCCCCCTCTAAGAAGCAGTTTCTGATTCTCCCCATTTCTCACCTTCCCCAGTTTCAGTTTCTCTGTCTCTGTCTCTCTCTCCTCTTTTCCTTCTCCAACTTACCTCCATAACCCACAAATATCCAACCTCCCTTTGCCTTTGCATGGCATGCCGATCCATCTGTCTCTCACTTGCAGCTTAGCATCCAGCTGCCTCCTGAGACCTGTGGCCTGGTCTCATGACTGAGCATCCGTCTGTTTCCCCTTGTGGCCTCTTGCAGCTACTCATGGAACTGCACCATTCCTGCCTGGGACTGGCTGCTCTCGGGACTAGCTGTTTGCTGCCTGCTGCCACATGGCCCACAAACGCTGCTGGGGGAACCTGCAGTGTTTCTGCCTCTGTAGCCACCAAAGATCTGCAGCATTTAAACTTTTACCATTACAGAACCCTTTTAAACTAGGGAATCACATATATATCTGTCTTTTCACCATTTCCATATCTCGTTTCCTAAGAGGCCAGAAGAATTCAACAGATCTCCGCAACCTGGAAATACACAAAATTCTGACCAAACTTGTGTGAGTGATAGAAATCAAACTTGGGTACCCAAAAGACTCAATACTACTGTGCCATCTCTCCAGGTCCGAAATGTCATTATAATGCTAATGATTAAGATATCCCAGTGCTTCCTCTGCCTGCTATCACTTAATCGAAAGACCCTGTATATGGTTATCAAAGGATTCAATGAAAAAAAATATATATCAATGCTGCAGACTAACAATGTGAATTATTGGCTTCCTGCTTTAGCAGACATGTCTGACTCCTTTTTCCATGCCTCTTTCGTATCCCTCTGAAACCAAGGGCCAAATGAAACTCTTTTATAAATTGACCTAGACATTTTATCACAAAAACAGAAAAGAAACTAACAAATCCACACAATTTTATACCTCAATTAGTTATTTCATTTAATTGAAGAAATATATAAAAGCCAAAACCCCAAAGGGTTATCTGATTGTTTAAACTAATACTTCAAGTGTTACAGCTCTGGAGGGAATAATGTAGAGTCAGGTTATATCTACAGTTGTGAATGGAAGGTATTTAAAGCTGTGAGAAGAAAGTTACTCTGACTGTTGAAAAATCAGGTTATACCTAAAGATGTAGAGGGATGGCATCCTGGATACCGAAAGATCCCTTGACTTTTGAAGTGAGTCTATATCTAAATCTGTGAAGAGAAGATATCCAGGATACCTACAGCTGTGAGTAGAAAGGTATCCTAATTTTTGGGAAGTCAGGCTATAACTGAAGCTATGGAGGGAAGTTATCCTTAATACCTAAGTTTGTGAAGAAAATGGTATCCTTACTATCAGTAGGCATGCCATACCTACAGCTGTGAAGGGAAAGTATGCTGGATACCTACAGCTTTGAATAGAAAAGTATGCTGACTGTCAGGAAGTCAGGCTACACCTGAAGTTATGGAAGGAAGGTATCCTGGGTTGTTACCTCTCTAAAGAGAAAGGTACACTGAATGTTGGAATGCAGGCTATACCTACACCTGTGAAGTGAAGAAATTCTGGGTATATTCATCTGCAAAGAGAAAGACACCCTGAATGATGGAATTCCAGCTATAAATGAAGTTGTGGAGGAAAGATATCCTGGTTACATAGGGCCCTGAAGAAAAAGGTACCTCCTGTACTATCAGAAGTCAGGCTATGCCTACAACCCTGAAGAGAACGTATCCTGGAGACCTACAGATATATAGGGAAAAGTATCCTGAGTGTCATGCTATATCTGAATTTGTTCTCTCCACAGGATGCAGCAATCTCTCTTCTCACGAAGAGAACCTTTACAGCTAGGCCTGGCTTCAGTCTGCTAAGAGTTTCCCATCAGAGATATTCATTGCTGCTCTGCTGAACTCCCCTAAGGGAGGTTCCCAGCAGAATTGTCCACTGCTTCTCTGTTTTGTTCCACCAGAGTTTCCTAGCAAAGTTGTCTATTTCATCTCAGTCCCAAACCAAATTGTTATTTCTTCCCCTCCCCTTTGTTTTTTTAAATATTTATTTATTTATTTATTATGTGTATAGCATTCCTTCCACGTGTGCCTGCAAACAAGAAGGGGGCACCAGGTCTCATTATAAATGGCTGTAAGCCACCATGTGGTTGCTGGGAATTGAACTCAGGACCTCCGGAAGAGCAGTCAGTGCTCTTAACCTCTGAGCCATCTCTCCAGCCCCTCGGCCTTTGGTTTTTTGAGACAGGGTTTCTCTGTAGTTTTTGGAGCCTGTCCTGGAACAAACTTTTGTAGACCAGGCTGGCCTTTAACTCACAGAGATCTGCCTGCCTCTGCCTCCTGAGTGCTGGGATTAAAGGAATGTGCCACTACCATCTGGCCACTTCTTATCTTAAGCAAGGAGGGAACTGCTGCAAAAATGTAGCAGTCTCCCACAAAATGGTACTGCTTCATTCCTTTAAGGGAATTTACCAGTAGAGTTGTCCACTGCTTCTCTACTCCAAACTAGGGAGTTTATCATTGCTCAGGGGAAAGGTCTTAATCCAAAACTCATTCAAAAGATTTATTTAAAAGGGATTAATTCAGAAGACTGGCTACCTCTGCCAGGGTAGAAAAGAGAAGCTGCTGATTGATTAGAAACAGGGCTTATAAATGGGCAGAGAATTTCCAGGTAGAAGATTTTCCCTAGGTGTTAAAAGTTGCAGACACTTACTGCATTTTGGGTTCTGGAATTGGTTGGTTTTGAGCTCAGGGATTAGTTGATTTTGTGATCAGTTGAACAAGGGTAGAGTGTTTATTTGGATCTAGTTTCAGAGACAAAATGTGTTTCTTTTAATGGCCCCTTTCCACATTTTGGGTCTGATTTTAGGGTCAGGGTGTTTCTTTCACTGTCTCTGGATACAGGGCTAAAAGTGTTTATGTGGCTCTGGTTTAAGAGTCAGGGTGTGTCTCATTGGCTCCAAGTTTAGGGTGGTGAAAATTTCTCTCTTTCACTGGCTCTGCTTTCAGGTTTAGGGTGTGTGTATTTTCTTTTTTTTTTTTTTTTTTTTGGTCTGGCCCTTTTACCCTACACATAGGTCTTCATATATTCATTTGTTCCATGAGTACGTGAGTACTTACAACATAAAAATGGATATCACAATATTTGAAAAAAATTTTGGCACTGTCAAACTTTTCTACAGAATTAATACTTTTCTGTAACTGATTATATTTGTGTTGGATAAAGATTTTAACAGGCATTTTATAATAAGACCTCAGTATCGTTTTCAGGTAGGCAAAGACTATTGTAATATGAAAATGAATATAAAAACAGATTAACTGCACACAAAAAGTTTCACTCCTTTATAAAGTGCAAAACTTTAGCACACTGACTACATTTACAGGGTTTATCTGTAGTATGATTTTACCTCATGATATTAAAGACTAGTGATACATGCAAAGGCTATACCATAACGATTGCATTCATATACTTTCTTTCCAGTGTATTTTCATTTATCTCTTGAAGGTAACTGTGATTAGCTGTCTGGGACCAGCCTCGAGAAGAAAAAAAAAAAAAAACTCTCTTAAGGGTAAAGGTGTCAGCAATAGAACTATAGTAGATAATATGAATATGAAAACACAAATGAAAAGAATAAAATGGAGAAACACATAAGGTAGTATTGGAAGGAAATTCCAGTGAGTACTGAAAATTCACCTGCATTTAATTTCCAACTGCTTAAAATATCCTTGACCCCAAAATGTAGGAGTAAGACAAAAGACTGCATTAACATAGTACAAGGAAATGAACTAGTATTAACTGAAATTTATGAGCTACATGCACAGTTAAAAATTATAACAAAACAAGTCATGCTTACACCTTAGACCAAAACATTCCGTAGGCAAACCACTCCCTCAGTAGAATCCCAAGTTTCTTCATCAAGAAAACTGGAACTTAGTCCAATCCTTACAATTTGTTTGAGGTAGGAAGAGATCTACTTCTCTATTCCTGGAGTACAAGTTCTGACAATTAGAAACACCTGTTGAAAATATCCTTGAGAGAGCGGAACTCTTGGACCTATATGTTGGTGGGGCATTTGTTTGAGGTAAAATCACAATAACCTTGAAGGAACTAGAGGAAAGTCCCAATTCTCTGACCTTTAATCAATTGTTAACAGGCTCACAATTTTAGGCCTCCACAATGAGCAGAAGTTTTAACACATATATTCATAGGGTTTCTCTCCAGTATGTGTTCTTTTATGCCTTGAAGTTGACTGTGATATGCCAAACCTTTACCACACTGATAAAATTCATAGGATTTCTCTCCAGTGTGTGTCCTTTTATGCTGTTGAACAGTATTATGATGACCAAATCCTCTACCATAATGATTACAAGCATAGTCCTTCTCTCGAGTTATGTGTCCTTTTATGCTTTGGAAGAGTGCTGTGATGGGCAAATGGCTTTACGATACTGATTACATTCATAGGGTTTCTCTCCAGTATGGGATCTTTTATGCTTCTGAATATAACTGTGACTTGCAAAGGCTTTCCCACACTGATTACATTCATAGGGTTTCTCTCCAGTATGTATTCTTATATGAATGTAAAGATAACTCTGCCTTGTAAAGGCTTTACCACACTCATGACATTTATAGGGTTTCTCTCCAGTATGTGTTCTTATATGCCTTTGAAGATCGCTGATACATGCAAAGGCTTTACCACACTCATGACATTCATAGGGTTTCTCTCCAGTATGGGTTCTTTTATGCCTTTGAAGATGACTGTGACATACAAAAGCTTTACCACATTGATTACATTCGTAAGGTTTTTCTCCAGTATGCGTTCTTTCATGTGTTCGGAGAGTTTTTTGACTTATAAAGGCTTTCCCACACTGATTACATTCATAGGGTTTCTCTCCAGTATGTGTTCTTATATGCCTTTGAAGATCACTGATACATACAAAGGCTTTCCCACACTGATTACATTCATAGGGTTTCTCTCCAGTGTGGGTTCTTTTATGCCTTTGAAGATGACTGTGACATACAAAAGCTTTACCACACTGATTACATTCGTAAGGTTTTTCTCCAGTATGCATTCTTTCATGTGTTCGGAGAGTTTTTTGACTTACCAAAGCTTTCCCACACTGATTACATTCATAGGGTTTCTCTCCAGTATGTGTTCTTTTATGAATATGAAGATAACCCTGCCTTGCAAAGGCTTTCCCACACAGATTACATTCATAGGGTTTCTCTCCAGCATGTGTTCTTATATGTCTTTGAAGATCACTGATACACACAAAGGCTTTACTACACTGACTACATTCATAGGGTTTCTCTCCAGTGTGTCTCATTATATGTCTTTGAAGTTCACTGATACATAAAAAGGCTTTACCACACTCGTTACATTCATAGGGTTTCTCTCCAGTATGGGTTCTTTTATGTCTTTGAAGATGACTATGACATACAAAAGCTTTACCACATTGATCACATTCATAAGGTTTTTCACCAGTTTGTCTTATTATATGCCTCTGAAGATGACTGATACATGTAAAGGCTTTATCACATTCATTACATCCATATGTTTTCTCTCCAGTATGTGTTCTATTAGGCATTTGAAGATGACTATGATGTACAAAGTCTTTATCATACTGATTACATTCATACGGTTTCACTTTAGGATTTGTTCTTTCATGCCTTTGAAGATGACTATCATATCCAAGGGCTTTAAGACACTGAGTAGATAAAGAAGGTTTCTCTCCAGTTTGACTTTTTTTCTGCCTGTAAGTATAATGAAATATGTATAAGCATTATTATATTCAATACACTGTTAAATGTTTATATTTATATGAATTAATTTTACAATTTGGTCCAATTGTAAAGGAGAATTAGATCTTATGGTTTTATGACTGTGAATACACTCAGGTTGTTCCCCTTTATTAAGGGTTGTTTGTATTTTTGAGGATACTTCTGATTGTAAGATACTTTTTTACATGGTTCATATTTACAGAAACTTTTTTATATACATGGTAATGCAAATATATGAGGAAAACTGGAAAAACTCAGAGTTTTACCATGCTTACTGCATTCATAAAGTTTCCTATTCTGTGAGTGATATGACATTTGCTAAGTGACCTAGGATAAACAAAAGTATTTACAAAGTCTTAGTACTGATGTAGCTTTTCTGCAATGTGTATTTGCTGATGCATTAATGATGAAACTGGAAAACCAATTACTTGTATACTTGAATCAAACTCAACAAGTATAATTCACATGGAGACTGCTATGATTCTTCTAATTGTTCTGAGAGAGAAGTATGTTTTGCCTTTCCATATACGTATGCTCAGATGGCTTGATTGTATAGTGACATATGATATACTAAGTAAAAGAAGAATAATAAATAAAAGACTTCAATATTGAATTCACACAGTATGACTTCCTGTACTCATAGACATGTGGTATAGAGATTATCAGCTGAGGCATCGTTTCCTTGACTTCTTTCGTAAAGAATGTCATGCACATGTAATTCACCTACCTGAAATTGCACTTTATAGTTTTGTGAGAATTTAATAATCAGTGATACACTTTAAGCTGTTCTTATTTACACTATTGCTTTTGATAAAAACTTCCAGGACACAATAAAATTTCTTCAGATGCACATTTGTATCAACTTTCTCATGAAAGTTACCTTTCATACCCTGTAGAATGTTGCCAATGTTGTTCAATAGTATCGTCTTCCCAATTGTATCCTAAAATATAATACCAGAAAATGTATGTTTTATTATTAAAAATTGTGCATTTTTTTCAAAATTTCAACTAATACCTTTAATGAACCTCAAACACTGCTTGATTTATTCACTCCATTCTTCTTTCTCAATCAAATTACAGGAGCGCATCAATAATTAATGAATGGTTGTCCCCTTATTTTAAATTGTAATGGAAAAGTCCAGCTTACCTATAATAGTGAGGTTCCTGTAGGTCTCTAGCATCACATCTTTGTAGAGATTCTTCTGGGAAGGTTCCAGCAATGCCCATTCTTCCCAAGTGAAGTCAACATGCACATCACCATAGGTAACTGCATTCTTAAATATCCCATACATGTATATAAAAGAAAGCATGACACTGACTATATTACATATATACTTTTTTGACACTACAGTCAAAAGTTCCTGGTAAACCCATCAGATAGTCCACAGCATAGACAAAATTTAATCACCAAATCACTTTAAAGGGAAACTGATTAAGAGGTTCACCTCTGTCATTTCTCTATCCTTTGAATGGGGTGTTACCTTGCAAGAGAAATGTTTATTATAAAACATAGACAAATAAACAGATCAACAATACAGAGTACAAGAGAGAAATTTTATGAACAATTAATTCCTACTTTAAAAAAAATAAGATGGGCAAGCAGGGTGCATTCGCTCATGCCTTTGATCAGAAAGAACAGGAGTGTATATATGTGCCTCTGAGTTGAATGTAAGCCTAGTGTATGCAATCTCTTCCAGGATAGTCAGAAGTACATATTAAGACCATTTCCCATGGAAAAAATCAGTCAAACAATCAGAAACAATAGAAAGAACATGGGGTTTTCATTGAAGTTTCTACAAATTCATTCCAGTTCGGTATTCATCTTCCAGAAACCTGATGTATCCCAATTAGAACTGTAACATGAATAAAATTTTACTAAAAGGCAGTGCAAGTTTAAAAGTTTACAAAGGAACAGACTAAAACCTTAACAATACAAATGTTGATCACAAATAATCAACACAGGGCAGGAGAGATGCCCTAATATTAAAGAGTCCTCACTGGTCTTGTTTATAGGTGGGCTCACTTGCTAGAGCTTAAATGGGGGATCACAACTACCCATTATTTCAAATTTAGGGTTTCTGTGACCAGCTTTTTATCACTGTAAGAACCATGTAACCACATGGTACATATTCATGCATACAGTTACTCATATTCAATAAAAGTTTCAAAATTAACACAAGAGCTGGAAAAAGGTGATGTACCTGCAATCCAATGACTCAGAAGGCTCAGACAGTATTAATGCCATGAATAAATGCCTTGCTTGGAAATATACTGAATCCCTCTGCCAAACTTTAAAAATTCAAGATATGGGTGACAAAATTATCCAATAATATCAAAACAAAAAAGCCAGGAATGTTGGTCCACCTTCAATCCCAGAACTTGGGAGCCAGAGTCAAGTGATATCCGAGTTTGAGGCCAACCTGGTGTACAGGACTACTTTTAGTACAGCTAGGGCTACATAGACAAACCTTTACTTCAAAAACATACAAAGAAAACAATTTTAAAAAGCAAGCTACCAAATGCATTAGCACTGAATAGCAACTACTTCTACTAAATCTTTCATGATCTAGTGTTTCAGTCTATAATGGTGGAGAAGGCAAGATAGCACAAGAAGGAACCTGGATGATTAGTTTCAACCACAGCATAGTAGACACAAAGAACAGGGGATGTATTGAAGCAATAGTGACTCATATCACATACCCAATAATGAATTTTATCCAGAAAGGTTCCCCCTACTAATGGTTTCACAACCAATCAAAAGAAATCACCAAGCAGGCACACTTGACCAAATACAACTTCCTATCTGTTTTTCACTCAATCAACTACATTCTGACCCAGACCATTATAGGCTCATGGTCATCAGTGACGAAAATGCTTTTGTCACTTCAATGATCCTCATAGTCCACACCAGCACCTACACTATTTAAAGATACAGAGTTTCCTCTGACACTGCAGACAATCTTTTGACAATGACATCTTTCCAACAAACAATGGAACAGGATACCATTCACATCCCAAAGAGAAATGGACACATAGTGAGGGACGATTGGACCAAGAAAGACTGAAGCACAGCAGGTCATACAACATGTCCTGTAGTTCTGTCTCAGATTTGTGGGGCTTTAGTTTTATAAGACTAAGATGGCCCTAACCTGCAACTTCTCCGACATTTTTATCTCTGGTTACTTCTACCCCCTATATGTAGCTATTTTTCCATGGAATATGTCTCATAGCTTAGGTATCTCACCATTTTGTATTATCAAAATGCAATTCAACATGTTGTGGAATATTTTTGTAGGATGTGTTATATTTGTTTATGCTGTGGAACATTTGTATTAATGCTACAAGGATATTTTGCATTTATGCTGTGTTTGTTCAACTTTGTGAAAACATAATACCTTGATGCCTAATCACTTGGTTGGTCAAAAAAGAGCTGAATGACAAATAGATAGACAGTAAAGAATAGGAGGGGATGCCAGGCAGAAAGAATAAATGGAAAGAAAAATGTAGGAAGAGAAATCGAAGGAAAAGCATGGAAATAAGAGTATACCAAGGGCCAGGCAGCCAGCTACACAGAAAGTCAGGGAGTAAGTAATAAAGAAAAGTATACAGAATAGAAGAAGATAGAACTCCAGAAGCAAAAGGTTGATATGACAATTTAAGAAAAACTGCCAAGAAACTAGTTAAACTAAGGTCAAATATGTCTAAATAATAATAAAAAAATCTTTGTTATTTAACGGGGAGTCAAGTTGTGGCCAGATATTTCTAAAACTCATGGCAGAGGTCCATGCCACATAGCAGATAAAAGGTTCATGTGGTCATACAATACAGTAGAAGAGGTTCAGACTGAGAAACCTATGAAAAGTTTCCAGTGTGTTTTACAATATGCATAGGCTTAAAAAAGACAAGAAAATTTATATAAGAGGTATAGAAAGAAATAGTTCAAAAAATAATAATGTCTTTAAAGAGATAGTAAAAGTAATATAAAACAGGGAGGCAGGTAATATAGGAAATAAACAGGGCTTCTGGATCTTGTATACTATTATGCTGATTTTCAATTTTTTGATGTATGACAAGCAAGAGACAGTTTCTGAAAACCTTGGAATTGTAAACAGGGCTGCCAACCTGAATCAACCTAGATACTTTAGGCTATCTTAATTTAAAAAATAAGTCAAATGTATATGTAAAATGGAAACTAAAAATGATTTGGAGAAGAGGTTTTACTTTGGTTTCTGTAGGAGGCAAAATATTGTGGAATTCTTAAGAAATAATATTGATCAGGTTTGATCAGGGACGACCTCCAAAAACTTGACCTGTGAAATCTAACAACAAATATTATAGCTGGTTTTCCCAAGACTTTTCCATTATCTCCAATTTTTCTCCAGGACCTCTAAAGGTGTCTTTTCCTACATTTGGCAGGAAAAAAATCAAGAGAATCCTCCTCCTCCAATTCCAAGAGATTTTTATGGAGGCTTTTGGTTAAATGGTGGACTATGGATGTTTGTTATCATTTGTGGGAATATAGCAGATTGATAGAAATTTAAAGTTACTTTGTCACAGTGTATTTACGTTTCTACTTTGGCTTAAGGTATTGTCCCCCATGCCATTCAGTTAAAATTTTAAGATAAAATTCTAGTTTTTAAAGGTTATTATAATAAACTATTTAGGATAATAAAAAAAACAAAACCACAGGTTAGCTGAAAGGAGGTCATGCACATCTCTAATCCCAGCACTCCAAAGGCATAAGCAGGTACATCTCTGGGAGTTCAAGACCAGGTCTACAGAATGAGTGGCAGGAGAAGCTCCAGAACTACATACAGACACTGTGTCACAAAATAATTGAAAAAACCACAGGTTAGTATATAGTCAGTTATAATAATCAATCTTGAACGTTAAGTATGTTTTCAAGTTCATATATACGTACATTGAATAGATAAATGGTTTTCAAGCACTTCAAAGATCTATGAAATATATCATTTTATTACTTCAGAGATGCCAGACATTGAAAAACTCCATTGGAGTTTGCTTTCATTGTGACAAGACTAGCTACTAGGCAAGAAACTGCTCTTGCTTTTGACTGCTCTTAATGTGCTATACAGACAGGAAATGCAGGACACACAGAAATAGACTGCCCAACTTTGCCAAAACAATACAGGATAATTCCGGCTTCACGGAAGGATATGCCATATTTTCTCCAAGACATATACGAAAGAAACTGATGAACTTTGTGAGTACAAGGCAGGATATTCCTTTGAATTTCAGGCTTCACTGAAAAATTTACCAGATATTCTGGGCCTATTGAATGAAGTTGGTTGCCCCAACATTGCAGAGGAACTGTGGATGATTGTCCAGCAAGCCAAATGTCTCTGATTTTAGATAATATCACATCTTTCTGAGTCTTTGATGAATTTTAAGACTACTTAGTTATAGTTGCAGTTTTCCTTAGGATAGAAAATACGTTAGGAGTAAAACTTTGAATTCACTAAGATAGGATAGATAATGCATTACTTTCTCTGAATATATTACCTACAAATGGAAAGATTACTTGATGTCAGATTCCCCTCTGTATGCTGCGATTACCACTGGTTAATAAAAATACTGCTTTATAGGGCTATAGCAGGAAAGAACAGAGCTAAGCAGGGAAAACTAAACTGAATACTGGGAGAAAGAAGGTGGAGTCATAAGACTCCATATAGGCCTGCCAGAGACAGATGCTGGGGATGGAATTTTACCTGGTAAGCCAAAGCTACATGGTGATATACAGATTAATAGAGATGGGTTAGTATAGGATATAAGAGTTAGCCAAAAATATGCTAAAGCTATTGGCCAAACTCTAGTATGAGGGCCTGCTTGTTGGAGTTTCTGTCCTCCCACCAAGTTCCACAGGCATTTGGCCCTAAAGAAAATCACACAGAAGGTCTACAAAAGTTATAAAACTGATTGGGCATTAGCTCAATCTTTTTATTAGCTCTTGTAATATATATTAACCCATTATTCTTATCTATGTTAGCCACATGGCTTGGTATCATTTTGGCAGGGTAGGTCACATCTTCCTTCTTCTGTGATCTGGGCAAGACAGCAGGAAGAGCTTCCTTCTTCCCAGAATATGCCTGTTCTCATTGCCCTGCCTCTACTTCCTGTCTGGTTGTCCCATCTATACGTCCTGCCTGGCTACTGGCCAATCAGCATTTATTTAAAACATGATTGACAGAATACAGACAATTTTCCCATACCACCAAACAGCATTGCAAATAATATACTTTCTGACTGATATTTA